TGCCCAGCTTTGGGATGAATTCAGTTGAACTAAAAAAACTGGAACAGAAAGTCCGTTCTATATTTAATATGTTTCAACACGTCAAAATCCGCAACCCAAACGGTTTCGAAACCACTCGTATATGAATTTCAGATTCTATGCACGAATTTTAGGCTAAGTGCAGAATCATAAGGTTTTGTGCTGGACCTACAGGACTTTTACAAGATTTGTGCAGGACCCAAAAAATGCGTATGGGTACTGTAGGACAATGTACAAATCTGATGATGCCTATTGACCCCTTGCCCTCCCTGATATTTCTTCAAAATTTTCAATTTCCAGATGCACCTTTTCTGTATATATAAGGACTCAAATAAATATAGATCCATTTCATATCAATTCTTGACATCCGGGCAAAAAATTTCCTTTCTAACAAAAATAGTACTGTTTTGTTTTCATATTCTGGACTGGTTTTACAAAACTAATTTATCGGTTATTAATAGCTTTTCTTTTCCGTAGCTAAACAGCTCTGAAGATAAAGTTATAGCATGAAAAAAGGTATTCTTTCATAACTCTCGAATAAATGAATAGAAGATGATCTGATGAAAGCTCTATTGGAGTCATTGGAGATATCATCAACTTTGGAAAAGTCTTTTATTTTTCACAGTTTAAATGTTTTCTTTTCTCAACTACAATATGGGTACTGGGTACAGTTTCTTAGATGCATTGATGTTATTAAAATTCTAATTTATAACAGTATTTCTACCTTGAAAATTAATTTCAACTTTACCTCTACCTACTTGTTTCACCGCTAAAAACAATCCTAGACCGTCCTAGACGTAAGTAATACAATATGAAGTGATGCTGTGCATGAGGAAAAGGTAAGCAAGCAGAATAAAATCAATATGTCTAATTTTTAATTCTTGTTTGTTTCAAATTTTTCACACTGAAAGTTTTCTAGCATGGTATATTCCTTGATATATTCTATTATGGTTATTTTATACCATATCCAGACACGAAAATCCTGATTGAATTTAAGCAGGTTTCTTAAAGTCTGGCATTGTTTTATTTGGAACCTTTCAGAGGTGCAGTGATTGATACGAAATTTTAAGTAAACATAAAAAATTTTGTACTAAATTTTGTCAACCTTTATAGGCATCTCTAGTTGTGCGAACGAAGGAAGAAGAAAATCTTTTCGTGATTGGTCTATGAAGTTATTATTATCATTGGAAAGTTCAACAATATTCTATATTCTATGCAGTGCCAGTAAACTATTTCTGGATCCAGGTTATAAGGACCGTTAAGGCAATTCCATATGGTAAATGCCTTTTTTTGAATGTCCCATTATTGTTGATAAATTTCCCAGTTTTTGCTTGGGGTGACGATCGTCCCTACTTTCAGATTGATATAAAAGTAATTTGATTATCAAAATGATCAATATTCTCAAGGGCTTTCTAATAGTTCCAATAGTCCACATCAGATCCCCCTGGTTGGGATGTTCACCTAATGGACTTCTCTACACTGCGACCTGATTGGATCTATTGTGCTTCCCCTTCCATTTGTTCTCAGATTAGGACTTTTGCAAAGCCTAATATTCCTGGGACAAGTCCGATAAGTCTTCTTCCTAATATATCAAAAATATTGGAAAGGGTTGTCCATTCGCAGGTTTCAGAGTATTTGAATGGTCATGGTTTTATCCCGGCACATCAGTCTCTGGTTTTAGAGAGAATCATAGCACAATCTCTACACTATTGAATGTGACTGACACTATCGTGGCAGCCCTTGACAGAAAATTAGCTGCAGCTTTAACATTATAAGATGATTCAAAGGCATTTGATGTAATCGATCAAGCACTTTTATGTGCAAAGTTGTTATTTTATGGGTTTGACGAGTTTTCTGTTTCATTTTTTAAATCTTATAGCCAGAAGCTAGGCGGTTTGAATTGCCAACATGAACCAGTAATCTCAGGAGTGCCTCAAGGTTCAATATTGTTCCTGTATATTGTATATACATCAGATCCATTGCATTCGCATATCCAAGCTTATTGTGACGATACTCAGTTGTTATTGGAATTTAATCCTCCGGATACTCTACAGGCTGAATGGCTACTGAACCAGGATTTGGAGTCTATATTTTGGTTTTCTAATGATTATAATCTGGAAATTGATTACGAAAAGACTGAAGTTATGATGCTGTTATTTTCAGAAAAACAGCGAAACAATTTCCTGAATTTCCTTAATGTGCATATTATTGGCGCTCTGAAATAGAGTTCTCTAATTACGCTAGAAACTTAGGTTTATAGGTACATAGATATTAACTTGAAATTTCACAGACTGTTACAAATAATAGCTATGTAAATGAAATTACTGTATTCAAATAGATTTATTTTGAACTACTTAAAACCAGACAAAAATTGTGTGAATCCTTTATTATGCCTGTGTATAGCTATTGTTATATTGTGTATTATGCATTTTTAGCTGTAGTTACTGAAAAATGAAAATATAGGCTAAAACTCTCAAACCTGAAACAAGATGGAAAGTAGAAATCACAAATGGCCCTTAGTCCCTGGCAGATAACAAGTCTCCGACCAAGGTAGCGGTTGGAAAAGGGAGCGATTTTCTAATACGTTTGTAGTTTCCAGTTCAAATGTGTCATTTATTGTGACATCCAATGAATAAGAACAAGGATCCACATTACTTTTCAAGTTTTGTTGTAAAGTATAATATCAGCAACAGTACAGTAGAAGTTGTTGAGAATATTGGGATCTAATTTAATACCTTTTTGAAGAGTTTTTACCAGTTAATTGATTAATTATTTTCCAGTTTTCTTGGCTGGCATTTTTGGAGGAGTTTATTCTATTCTGGTAAAACTTTTCCTTAGCTGCTTTTAAAACACTTTTGTAAATTTTTCTATATCTGCAGAAATAACTTATGAACTGAGGACAATCAGTAAATTTGCGAATATTCTGTAAAGAACGCATGTTTTTTGATGAAACTTTAATAGCGGGCGTAATCCAAAGTCTACTTTTCTTTTGCTTAATTTTTTGTAATGGAAAAGATCTTAAAAATGCATTAGTTACTAATTTTTAGTATTCGTTCAGTGGTGATTGACAATTCAAAACTGCTGACCAATTTAATTCCTTGCATACTTATATCTTTAAATTTTTTATGATTGTTACTGCTAAGTAGTCTACCAACTTTATATTTTGATGGTTTATTTATCGCAAGTTGAAATTTTGCTAAAACTGCCTCGTGATCCAAAAGGCCTACAGGAACACAGATAATAGATTTTGATTCGAGAATGAGCAGTTATTCTAGTAGGTTCATTAACATACATCTCTAGGTCAAATGATAAAAACAAGTTGGACAGAATTTGCTTTGCCTCTGATCTGTCATCATTAAAATTTATATTTAGGTCTCCCCCTAGTATTAAACCTACCTTGGGTGGCAGTTTTAATAAAAGAATTAAGAATTTCAAGATTTTCAAAGTATTGCTTTAAGTTTGAATAATAGGGGAGCCTCTGTATATACACAAAATATATAAATTATTCTTTTTGTTATATAACATGAAGAATTCAAAAATATTTTCAATTAAAAGGATATTAAAATTTTAGTCAACCATCCAAGGACCTTTTTTTTCAGTTATACATGTAAACCCCATACTTTGTGAGTGGCTTGCTTACATCAAGTCCTACAACTTTTCCTCTACGACTTTTCTCGGAAATGGCACGTATGCGCGCAGGCGACTCGCAAACATTTTAGGGGTATCGGACTCCCCCAATTTGCCATTATGTTTGTCGGCCAAGTTGATTTCCGTGATTTAGACATAAAAATCAAACAGTATTCGTAAAATTAGATTTACCTACATGTATCAGGAAACATAGCTACGTCAGATCGACATGTTTGCGAGTCGCCTGCGCGCATACGTGCCATTTCCGAGAAAATTCGTAGAGGAAAAGTTGTAGAACTTGATGTAAGCAAGCCACTCACAAAGTATGGGGTTTACATGTATAACTGAAAAAAAAGGTCCTTGGATGGTTGACTATTTGTTATGGGGGTAACATCAAAAGATTGTAAAAATGTCTTATTGACAAGAATAGCAGTTTCACCATGAGTTTTACTATTTCTACAATAGAGAGACACCAGAGTATAATTTTCAATACAAAATGGTTCATTTTCTGCTAACCAATGCTCAGTTATAAGTAGAAAAGCTGGAAAATTGTTATCTTCCAACAGCAGATATAAATCATCAAGTTTGTTCCTTAGCGATTGTATATTAATTAGAAATACGGAGACGGCGGCCTTCTTTTTTATGTTTTGTGCCGCGCTTAAGCAGTTTGTGAAAGAGGTTGCTCTTCGAGACGCGTATCGTCGAGATAAACTAAACCTCGGAGACAGCAATGAAGTTTTCCGTCGAGGTTTGTATACTATTTTATTTTCAACTCTCAATTTCTGAGGCAAAAGGTTTTATAGTACGAAATAATAGTGTGAATTGGCCTTAGTCCCGATAAAATGTCAAAGTACAGAAATGTGACAGTTTCAAAATTTTAAAGTCTATAATGTCAATATTACATAGACAGTTGAAAATAAAAGATATCATCTATTGGGACATATTTAAGATTTGTTATGCTTTGTACTTTAAAGTTTTGAATAGAAGAGAATATTTTTAGATTCAGATGTAGGCAATTCCATTGCAAATGCCTATTTGATTGTCCTCTTGTAGTTATATTTCCCAGTTTGGGGTTGGGTGACTCTCAGGTTGGGATAGAAGCACTTTGCATTTGGTCAATATTTTCAGGGGTTTTCTATATTCTCTTCCGCCGTATTCTTCAACAACCATATACAACAGTTCTGTTTCAACATAGCAAGAAATTTGTACAATATACTGACACGATTCTGCGCAAAGTTCTACATTTTTGTGTAGAATCCAGAATTCCTATACAAAGTGGTGTCGAAACTGTTCATGGGATGGTTTTTAACGTGTTGAAACAAACCTTATGTTTTCAATAAATGAAACTCACAAAATAATATCTAATCCAGTATTTATTAGGCTGGAAAAATGTTCAACCACAACATAGCAGGCCAAACAATTTTAAATTAATACAATTAATATGTACATTAATAAAACAGACATAGTTTTTTTTTTTTTGTTTTAGCTACCATACACGTTCAGTATCGAAACAACAGTAACGATTACACTGGGTTTAAAACTGGTATAAAAAAGACCGATTAAAAAAAAAAAGCAAATTAATCAATTAGTTCGAGGAACCTACATTATTTAGAGCGGGTATTGTAAAACTATTTTGAAAGACTAACTAGAAGTTAACTTTTAGTTGTTTGTCAAACTAGTTTTATAATACCCGCCCTTAGAGCGCGCAAAAAACAATATTTTTGATTCAATATATTATTATTTATTAAATAAATAATTCTAATATTAACTGGTACACAAAATAAAAACTTTGGAGAAATTCACTGGGATTGACAAAGAGTTTTTCTTTTGCGATACAGAAACAGGTACCTAATAATTAAAAATATATACAAACATTTGATTTTTTTTTGTCATAATATAAATAAATTAAAATATAAAAAACGCTGACGCACTGGGAAAGAAATTGGCCAATAGAACCAAACTTAAAAAATATCAACAAAAAAGCAATTATTTTTTTGATTTGAAAAATAATAACAATCAACATATTACAAATAAATACAAATTAGTATAATACAATAATGTTCAAATCTGCCAAAGCTCCCTACATAATTAATATGTATAAACAATAAATTACACAAGTTTATAAAAATATAATGTACAAGTAGTTAATATCATCTAGTAGCTTAAGGACAACACTATTTTAAGCATGTTAGTTTGATTTTGTTTCGAGGCTCAAATTATTTCTAGATTGGTTACCTTTCCACCAGAAAGTTGCTTACCAATAGGTCAGAATCAATACAAAATCATAGGTACACAGAATATCATCAGAAGTCATATTTGTAGCCAGCTAATGTCAATAATGATGTTGAGTGGAAGAACCGTTCGTCCATAACATAAATACCCCAAACACCAAGCAATGTGGGTATTTGCGTTGAACAACCAAATAAGCGAAATATACAAAAACACTTTGGTTTTAGTGTAGAGGTTAGGCCAAGCAATCCAAATATATCTGTCATAAAAAGATATGTTTTCTTTCAGGCAATCAAACCTGTATCAAGAAATGCTTCTCAGATACATGAGAGGTAAAAATCTATATTGCCTAAAGACGTTCTGTGTCCGTATCAATTTACACTTACTATCTTTAAGTTTGTACAGGGTGTTTTTTTATATATTGACACCCCACCTACAGCCTTTACCTTTACAGGTAGAAGGAAGGTGTAAATACAAAAGTTGTACAGTTTTGGCTGAATTTTTAGAAACCATGGTCAGCAACAAAATTTAAATGTCAGAAATGTGAAATTTTGCATGCTTCGATTTTTTTTTAATGGGATGCCCTATATTTACATTCTATATTCTTGAAGAGCACAATGCCCCGATTTCAAAAATATATGGTTTGTCTATATTTGATTCAACAATCTCAAATATATTCAGCTCCAAAAATTGTAAAAATACACCCTACTACTGATTTTGTGATACATTCTACCTGTACAGATGAAAGTTGCAAGTCAAATTTAAAGTACTTGGTTTTTCTGATAGTGTTTTTAAAATTTTTAGAACCAAATATGTTGGAGACGGCTCAAGCAAATACAGACAAACTATATAGTTTTAGAATCGGGAAATATAGGGCGTCCCATTTGAAAAAAGCTGAAAGCATGCAATATTTCACATTTCTGACATTCAATTTTTGTTCCAGACTATGAATTCTAAAAATTTAGCCAATACTGTAAAACTTTTGTATTTACAGCTTTCATCAACTTGTAAAGGTGAAGGCTGTAGGTGGAGTATCAATATATAAAAAAACACCCTGTACTTGAACAATAACGTAATATATAAAGTCAGAATTTGTAAGATTATCCACTTTTTGTCAATTTGCCTTTTAACAGGAATTAGTAATGTTACTTCATCAAACTAGTTATATAATGTGACAAGTTATTCAAGTACAAACGAGTGGATTGTTGCGGAACTTATGGGTGGACCTCTGAGGGACGAGCGCAGCGAGTTCCGCAGCCATCTATTCACCAATATGTTGTTTAATTACGATACTAACCTGACTCACTCAAATGTGAGTTCTTATTAGTTTAAAAACTACACGTTTCAGGAAAATGTCTTATTTGAATAGTTCAACAGTATATTGGTAAGTAGATGGCTGCGGAACTCGCTGCGCTCGTCCCGCAGAGGTCCACCCATAAGTTCCGCAATAATCCACTTATTTGTACCTACTTGAACAATAACTTATTATATAAAGTCAAAATTTGTAAGATTATGATTATTCACTTTTTGTCAATTTGCCTTCCAACAAGAATTAGTAATGTGACTTTACTAAACTAGTAATATAATATGATAAGTTATTCAAGTACAAACGAGTGGATTGTTGCGGAACTTATGAGTGGACCTCTGCGAGACGAGCGAAACGAGATCTGCAGCCATCTGTTCATCAATATATTGTTTAATTATGATAACAACCTGACTCACTCAAATGTGAGTTATTCTCATTAGTTTAAAAACTACATGTTTCAGATGAATGTCTTATTTGAATAGTTCAACAGTATATTAGTGAGTAGATGGCTGCGGAACTCGCTGCGCTCGTCCCGCAGAGGTCACCCATAAGTTCCGCAATAATCCACTTATTTGTACCTACTTGAACAATAACTTATTATATAAAGTCAAAATTTGTAAGATTATGATTATTCACTTTTTGTCAATTTGCCTTCCAACAGGAGTTAGTAATGTTATACTTTACTAAACTAGTAACATAATGTGACAAGTTATTCAAGTACAAACGCGTGTATTGTTGCGGGACTTATGGGTGGACCTCTGCGGGACGAGCGCAGCGAGTTCCGCAGCCATCTATTTATCAATATGTTGTTTAATTATGATACTAACCTGACTCACTCAAATGTGAGTTATTCTCATTAGTTTAAAAAGTATACGTTTCAGGTGAGTGTCTTATTTGAACAGTTCAACAGTATATTGGTGAGTAGATGGCTGCGGAACTCGCTGCGCTCGTCCCGCAGAGGTCCACCCATAAGTTCCGCAATATTCCACTTATTTGTACCTACTTGAACAATAACAGTCAAAATTTGTAACCCTCAGTTTCAGAATGTGTAGTCACTAAATGGTTAAACAAAGAAAAAGTGTCTCACATCATCTGGTCAAGCACCAGCTTTCAGTTAGCTTTAAGTTAAGTTGACCGTAAGAAAATTATGTGGTTAAAAATAAACCAGAAAGGACCTTAGCACAATTTTGGCTAACGTCTTTTCAAGTCTTGTTATGTTGATGGGTTGTTTTTCAATATCACGTAATTTTTTGTTGAATATGGATTTGAAGGTCCCCACAGACGCTCAGTTATTTTGTACAGGCCGACTGTTCAAACCTGGCTTGTGCAGGCATATCGGCACGTCTGTGGCTACTTCCGGTCAACTGTGCAGGCCGTTGGCCTAGCCTGAGTAAATTCAAGATCTGCTTGAAATTTGGCCTGCGCAAACCAACAGGCCTGAGCGTGTATGTGTGTGTGTGTGTTCAGTCCATTTATTCAATTTATTTAGTCAGTTTATTGATAGCATTTCAAATAAACAAAATGTCGAACACATGCAAAAAATTTATATGTGACTTTATAGAAATATACAAAACATTTCAATAATGCTTAAGGAAAATAAAAATTAGAGACTATAGTGATAGGAGCAAAAAATCGGCTGCCTATGAACAATTCTTATTTATTGCACAAGCAAGCAGAATACAAGACAAAGCTGTATTGCGAGAAGTCATTTTCACTGTAGAAGAAAAATACGTTTGAACTGCGTTGGTCGTCCCGTTTGGAAAGAACTGAGCTAAAAACTGAGCGTGTGTGCAAGAGGCAAATTTGCACCAATCGGCCTATGTAAACCTGGTTTGTGCAGCATGTCTGTGGATACTTAGGGGGGCCGTGCAGGCCGTTGTCCTCACCTGAGTAAATTCAAGATCTACTTGAAGATAAGCCTGCACAAACCATTTCCATTTGTCATCCTGTGTGAAAAGAACTGTACTTAAAACTGCGCATGTGCGGGAGGCACAGGTACAGTTGAATTTGCGCAAATCGGCCTGTGCAAAATAACTGAGCGACTGCGGGGGCCTTTAGTATATGAAAAGAATGTATCGATAATAAAGACGAAGGTGGACGATGTACAAAAATATTTAAACCTAGAACTTATTTATTTGAAGAATTATTAGAATTAGACTTGGGTTTAGATTATCACCAAGAATAGTGAAAATAATAGGTGAAGATTGTGCAGAAATTACAGATTATTTTGCATATTCATTTGAATCATTTTTGTTATTTCTTGTCTTGACAAAGGACCCTGCACACCTCTTATGAGATTATGGGATTCGGTCAATTTTCCTGAAAATTTGATATGATGCTCCTTTCAATTAACATTCTGATCAAAAGTGTTCATAGCCACAACTTGATCCTATGACTAGTTTTCGAGTAATGTATTGTCCAAGAAATGCACACATTTTATATCCTATTCACAATCTGTAGTCCAAAAGTACAGGAAATTTATCACCTTTCCCTATCAAATAGCATTGAGAGGTGATAAATTTTACCTGTACCTGTGGACATCGGATTGTGAATGGATAATATTCAGTGATGTTAGTGGGTCATGACGAGCGCGCATGACAGCGAATCATGACGGTCATGACCGTCATGTCACATTCAATGTGACCGTTGGTCATGACCATTTTACCGCATAGAGTGGAAAAGTGCAGTAAAGTAGACTGCATAGTATACGGTAAACTAGATTCGATGTTTAATTACACTCAAAAATCCCTTCTCGTTCAGAAATTTCAATAATGCCTTCATTTGGTAGGTGAATAACTATTATTTTTGTTATTTTATTTCACCTGCTAGGCTAGGATAGCTTTTATTAACTTTTTTTGTAATTTTTTGAAATTTCTTTCGTTCTGAAATCTTTAATAATTTGTCAAAACTTTATAGTCAAACCCATTTGTGAGTTAATAGACGATAGACTGTAGGTACTGGCGTTTTAAATTGAAATAATTACAATGTACTGTGACCATGGTCATGACAGTCATGACACGTCATGACGCCAATGACCGTCACGATTTTAAATGACCGTCATTTTACATCACTGAAAATATTGCATTCACATCTACTTGTCACCTGATATATTATTAGGTGACAGGTAGATGTATATGCATATAAAATGTGTGCATTTCTTGAACCTGTATCCCGAAAACTAGTCATAGTATCAAGTTGTGGCTATGAAAACTTTTAATCAGAATATTGAGAGGAGCATCATATCAAATTTTCAGAAAAATTGACCGAATCCCAAAATCCCATAAGAAGTGTGCAGGGTCCTTTATCTGCGATTTATTACACTGAAATCGTAAAATCTAAAAATTCTGCTGACAACCTATAAGAAAAATTAAAACAAAATATTAGTTAATTAACCAGCATATTTTTTTTTTGCTGTGAAACGCTATATGCCTTAACCATTGGTTACCGTTAAGTGACCAAGAAGATCACCAAGAGCCGCTTTCGGGTGCTCCTAGAACACTTCACACCTGTCACTGACCTGTCATACTCTATGCGTTTTGCACTCGAACGCTTGAAAACGAACGCAGCCGGAGTACTTCAGAGTTACTTGGGAGCGCTCAAAGGGTGCACTCGAAAGCAGCTCAGACATTGTGAAACTGGGTGTAAGATTATGATTAATCACTTTTTGTCAATTTGCCTTTCAATAGGAATTAGTAATGTTACTTTACCAAACTAGTAATATAATGTGACAAGTTATTCAAGTACAAACGAGTGGATTGTTGCGGAACTTATGGGTGGACCTCTGCGGGACGAGCGCAGCGAGTTCCGCAGCCATCTATTTCTCAATATATTGTTTAATTGCGATACTAACCTGACTCACTCAAATGTGAGTTATTCTCATCAGTTTAAAAAGTACACGTTTCAGGTGAGTGTCTTATTTGAAGAGTTCAACAGTATATTGGTAAGTAGATGGCTGCGGAACTCGCACAATAACTTATTATATAAAGTCAGAATTTGTGAAATTATCCACTTTTTGTCAATTTGCCTTTTAACAGGAATTAGTAATGTTACTTTACCAAACTAGTAATATAATGTGACAAGTTGTTCAAGTACAAACGAGTGGATTGTTGCGGAACTTATAAGTGGACCTCTGCGGGATGAGCGCAGCGAGTTTCGCAGCCATCTATTTCTCAATATATTGTTTAATTGCGATACTAACCTGACTCACTCAAATGTGAGTTATTCTCATCAGTTTAAAAAGTACACGTTTCAGGTGAGTGTCTTATTTGAAGAGTTCAACAGTATATTGGTAAGTAGATGGCTGCGGAACTCGCTGCGCTCGTCCCGCAGAGGTCCACCCATAAGTTCCGCCACAATTCACTTATTTGTACTTGAACAATAACTTATTATATAAAGTCAGAATTTGTGAAATTATCCACTTTTTGTCAATTTGCCTTTTAACAGGAATTAGTAATGTTACTTTACCATCTAGTAATATAATGTGACAAGTTATTCAAGTATAAACGAGTGGATTGTTGCGGAACTTATGGGTAGACCTCTGCGGGACGAGCGCAGCGAGTTCTGCAGCCATCTATTCATCAATATATTGTTTAATTACAATACTAACCTGACTCACTCAAATGTGAGGTATTCTCATCAGATTAAAAAGTACACGTTTCAGGTGAGTGTCTTATTTGAAAAGTTCAACAGTATATTGGTAAGTAGATGGTCCAGAGGTCCACCCATAAGTTCCGCAACAATTCATTTATTTGTACTTGAACAATAACTTATTATATAAAGTCAGAATTTGTAAAATTATCCACTTTTTGTCAATTGGCCTTTTAACAGGAATTAGTAATGTTACTTTACCAAACTAAGGTACGTTTTTTTTTTAAAGATAATTCCCCAAGTCAAAAATAAAGTAGCTATGTTGGCAATACAAGCCTTTTCTACATAAAAAATTTGAAAACATTGACAATTTTACATTGTATTGCCAACATAATGTCATTTTGACTTTTATCTTTAGAAAAAAAAATCAAGCCTTAAGTAATATATTGTGACAGGTTATTCAAGTACAAACGAGTGGATTGTTGCGGAACTTATGGGTGGACCCAGCCTTCTATTCACCAATATGTTGTTCAAGTACAATACTAACTTGATTCACTCAGTTGTGAATGTTTCTCATTAGTTCAAGGTGAGTGTCTTATTTGAACAGTTCAACAGTATATTGGTGAGTACATGGCTACGGAACTCGCTGCGCTCATCCCGCAGAGGTCCACCCATAAGTTCCGCAATGATCAAGGTATTTGTACAGGGTGTTTTTTTATATATTGACACCCCACCTACAGCCTTTACCTTTACAGGTAGAAGAAAGGTGTAAATGCAAAAGTTGTACAGTTTCAACTGAATTTTCAGAAACCATGGTCAGAAACAAAATTTGAATGTCAGAAATGTGAAATTTTGAATGCTTCCAGCTTTTTCCTACTACTGATTTTGTGAACCATTCTACCTGTATAGGTGAAAGCTGCAGGCAAAATTTGAGGTAGGTACTTGGTTTCTCTGATTTGAAATTTTTAGAACCAAATATGTTGGAGACGGCTCAACCAAATATAGACAAACTATAGAGTTTTGGAATCGGGAAATTGTGCTCTTCAAGAATATGAAACCAAATATAGCGCATCCTATTTGAAAAAGCTGAAAGCATACAATATTTCACATTCCGAAATTCAATTTTTGCTTATGACTATGGTTTTAAAAATTCAGCCAAAACTGTACAACTTTTGAATTTACACCTTTCTTCTGTAAAGGTAAAGGCTGTAGGTGGGTTGTCAATATATAAAAAAACACCCTGTACTTGATAATAACTTGGAAAACATGTTAAAGTGTCTCAGAACTAACCAATTTAGAAAGAGAGCTAATCATTGACAAACCAACTTTCAAGTGATACAGCTATTGAATAGTTATTTACCTAACAAATGCGGAAAGTGATACTTTACCGCACGCAACGGCAGTTGACCGAACGACGCGAAGCGGAGTTCGGTCAAGCCGTTAAGGGCGGTAAAGGCACTTTCCGCATGTCTTAGGTACAAAATTTTACCTATGAGCATCTACATCTCCAAAAAAGGGCATTGATAAAATTAATTATTGAATCAGATTAATGAATGAAATTAGATTAGATTTAAAAATTATCAAAAATCCATTTTCTGGAAAAAAAAAAGGATTTTTGACTATAAATATCAAATTCTACTTTACCGCACACTATGCGGTAAAGTGCACTTTACCGCACACTTTGTAGTCCACTTTACCGCATACTATGCTATAAAGTTCACTTTACCGCACACTATGCTGTAAAGTTAACTTTACCGCATAGTGTGCGGTAAAGTGCTACTTTCCATTTGCAAATACGTGCGGTAAAGTGCACTTTACCGCACGCTCGTAGGTAAAATAATGTACAGACTTTAAAAATGGAGCAACTTGTGAAGATGTAAATGAAGTAACCAAGAAAATTGGTGAAAGACTTTTCTACAAAAAAACCAAGGAATCTTCTAGACATTATGTTGTTGAATTTCATCCATAGCAACTTAAAATCACAAGAAATTTGCTGTATACATTGAGATGTATTGAATCAAACTATTTGAACTTATGATTTGTAATATTGAATGAACTTGACCAAGAAATCCTATTGTAGAATTCATAATTTGAGCCTCACACTAATAAAATCAAAAATAGTATATCTTCAATTAAGATATGTTGTTGATAGAGTGATGATAGGACTTAGTGGAAAATGATAAAAAATATACCAATTTCTGGATAAAAATAAACGATTGATCACAGAATGATACCTAGATAATGTAAAAGGTGCGTTTACATGAGTCAGAAGTTGTTTGATTCAATCGAAACTAGACTTTTTGCACCTTAATACTTCAAAATAAAAATTATTGTCTCTACAGAGTTTAGACAAAACAATAATATTGACTAGAGAAAAACAGAATTTAAAATAAATTAATGCTCATTTTCTGTTCAGGCTCTATACACCTAATTTATAATATACAAATTATTTTGAAAGCCCAGTTCACTTTTACCAAAAAAGCACTCTCTATATTATTAAACCTCTAGTAAATGAAAAAATGGCATTGTTTTTGATCTTAGGTCATAATAATTATGGCTTCAAACTATTAGAATTTTAAAAAAGGCATTATTTGAAAAATATCATATAAAATGTTCTCGTCTAGGAATCAATATACCAGTATTATTACAACATCAGCCTACTTTTGGTTTTTGAAACGTGAACGAATCATAGAAATTACACAATTTGATGATTCGTCAACTGTATCATTATCTTATAATAAAAAACATTTAGAAGCGTTTATCTTGTTTCTAAATTTATAATATAAATTTATCTAGGTTTACACAGGGTTATATTTCGATGTTGGTCCTATAATAAAATTGATATAAATATAAATTCACTCTTTATCGTTGTCCACTCCTTAATCTTGACGCTACTTTCTTCGCATTTGACGAAGATACTTTATCTTTCATGTGTTCTTCAGACTCATTAGCCTGTTCGCTTTCAATCTTGTCTAATTCGGTCATCGCTTCTTGAATTGCTTTTTCCAATTGGGTATTCAATTTTCGACTACTGAAAAAATATAATTCAGGATTAAGAACAACCAATGTTATTGATTAGTTAATAGCACATTAAAAATGCATTATTTTTCATCATAGACAAGTCACGATGTGGCTAAAATTCCAAAAAAACTCACGTTCTAGCCTTCTTCCTGGCTCGATGATGCGAATCGAGGCCCTCGGTTAAAGTTTGTAAAGTGTCGATCTTAATTTTTGAAAGATTTTTCTCGATACCAAACCACTTGACGCTGGCCAGCTCCTTCGTTATTTGCACGATTTTTCCTGGCCAGGACGAAGAACCTTTGGTAGGGCCCCACACCAAATCTCCAATTTTAAATTCCTGTTTTTTAGTTTGGTCCGAGCCTTGTTCCTGTTTATCTAAATTGAAATAAATTTGTGCGGTATGTAAACTTTTGGATTTGTTTATGAACACAAGCAGAAAGCGTCATGATGAGATTTCTGAATGGATGAGTTGACTTTTGTACATTTTAAGTGGTAGTTACACGCGTTTTAGTGAAACCAATCAAGCACACACCAGGTTAATGTCCCGTTATAGTATTTCTGGAAAGTTAGCCACACCTCAATGTGCACACAAAAGTAGTAGGTAGTGTCCAATTATATATTATGTACAATTTTCTTTTTTTTTTGTGTTTGGAGAAGTTAACCTGAAAAGTGAAAAGAAATGGTGCATTTTTAATTGAACCATTTTTTATGTCAACTAAGTAACTACCTACACCAAAATAACAACACTGAAAAATTCAATGCAAAAATTAGCCTCTTGGAAGACTAATTCTGTACACATCTGTAAGCAAATCTTAAAATTTCTATATTCTTGAAGAAATTTAAAGATGCAGAATTGCAAATTGTCTATAGGCAGCTATAAGCTTATAGAAATGTATAGATTTTCTTACAGATGTGCACAGAATTGACCCATAGACTTCTAAATGTAGATGGATCATCAAAATTTAATCCATATAGGCAAGAAACTTTCAATTTCAATGCTACACTATAAGAGATGCACTAAAAAAAAATCCTAAACTTAACCACAATGACAATGATGAAAAACCACTGACAACATTTATACCGTGCACTTTCACCAACTAGCATGCAATGAAAAAATGACAAATGCAAAAAGCCCCAAAACACAAAATCTACTCACCATCATCGTCATCGAACAAATCCATATGACGCGAGTCCATGACCAGCATGACGTCGCTACTACGTTTCTGATGCATCATTTTCCCATAATGTTTCGCATTCAAAATTTCCTGGTGCTTCATTTTTTGCTCGGTCAGGTACTGAATTCCGGTCATCATTGCGGGGGTTTCTTCGAAACTCATGTGCGTGATGTTTTGTTGTTTTTTACTGTAGTGCATGTGTTCGCTGGTGATGTCAGTAAATTCGTGTTTCATGGCGATGAATTCGTCTTTTATCGAGGTGGACGATTGGTTGGTTTTTCGCCAATCCGGGTCCGGTTGTATGCTGGCTTCCAGTAGGTCCGGTTCGCTACTCGAGACACAATGTACCATAGCCTGGGAATATAATAACATGAGAGTTTTCTACAATTTCTTATCACTTGGAAAATTTTTAAATTATTTAGGAGAAGATAAACGGAGTTATTTTCAAGTGCCCATGGAAATGGTGGACCAAGAGAAACAGCTGTAGCAATTCCTGATACAAATTTTTAAGAATGGCAATAGGGTTGATGAACGCACCAGCTACATGAATCCATATGATGAACCATGTACTGGGAAAATTAACGTAATCAGAGTGTCTTGTATATCAAGACGACATAATTGTATTTCCAAAAGACGTAGATAATAATTTACCAAAGCCAGAGGCGAAAAAAAAAAAATTGGAATTGGGACCAAGGCATCATGGTCATCAGACCAATGACAACATATGGCTCATTTAGTCTGGTGGGAAAAGGGGCAACAGCGTACTGCCCAAACCAAGCTCAACGGACTACAAAGACAAGTCTGGCAATAACAGGACTTTTCACCACTACGCAATGGAGCTTCTCCTAGAAATTCCCTCTTTACATAAGTATCTATCTGGAAAGTGAGGCCCTAAAAACAACTTACAGAATATACCACACGAATAGAAATCAAGTGGATGACAAAGGGAACGTGAAAGGCACCAAACTGCTGGAGTTTATCAAAACACATATCTAGCGGTTTGGGAATGCCTACAGACCTTATGCCAAAAACACACACACAACAAGCGCCCTACCCTACACAGTGACTTTCCCAAATAGGGTGGGTGCAGAATGAGCATGTCTACTAAAAACAGATCTATGTCTGTTCACGGATGGATCGAAAACAGACAGAGAGGGTGGGAGCGTAGACAACTTAAAGATAGGAGTTGAACTGCCAAAACATTTACGAAGAAAAAATCATAAAGCTCCTAAAGGTTTTGGAGGATAAAATCGGCCGCATCAGTATTGACGACAAAATTTGGGAGATAACGGTGACCCAAGGAACCTACGACACCGAAATGGAAGCAGTAGAGGTTTTTAGTGAGAAGATTACAGAAATAAAGTAGACTATTATTTCCTAAGTTGTCAAAGTCAGGCCGAATCAAATGTAAGTAACAAGCATAAGTTTCTTCTTCCTAATTGAACCTGAAAAAATTTGATAGGGATGTCAAAAAATGAATAGATTTCTGGGGGCAATTTCGCAAGATAGATGAAAGTATAGACATATAGAATATAAGTCTGGGTATCTATTGCAATGGACTGGAGAAAATTCTCCTGCAAGAGCTTTGATTGAAAGTTATCCACCTTCAGTCGCAAATTATAAAAATATAAGATTATATACCTTAGAACAATTATTGAAAGCTAGATTTGGTAGAGATGAGTTCTCAATAATTGAAGTATATTTACTAAATAAAAGTTTAAAATAGGCTTAATCTTGATTGAGTTGATTCCTGAGATTTTAGTTAAATTTAGATAAGGTTTGATAGGTATAATTTCCGATATTAAAAAAGCTTTTCTTATGATTGGTATAGCAGAAAAAGACAGAGATGTATTAAGATTTTTATGGTGGAAAGATGCTTCTATGAATGAAATCAAAATCTATAGACATACAAGGGTAATTTTTGGAGTATCCTCAAGTCCATTTTTGCTCGGAGCTACTATTATATATCATTCAGAACAGACTACAATGCTACATTTTCAAACACAATTTATAAGCTAAAAGAGTCACTTTACGTGGATAATTGTGTCGATAGTATGCAAGAGTTAAAAACATTTCTAAATGAGTCTAGAACCTGTTTGTCTTCAGGTGGATTTCGTTTGAGAGGATGGATATATGATGCCTAAAGGTTCTTTAAAAAAAGGCGAAAGTGAGATGCCTTGTAAAGGAAGTTCAGTATCAGTTCTTGGATTGGTATGGAATTTTGAACAAGATGTACTCTGTTGTGATGACTCATTTCTAGAACAAATACCAAAGATTCCATTTACAAAAAGAAGAATTTTCTCTGCTGCGCAACGCGTATTTGATCCAAAAGGTTTCACTAGTCCAGTAACACTCTTACCGAAGATTTTTCCATAAAAATCCTGGAAAACCAAAAATCAAGTGGGATCATCTGTTATCATCAGATAGATCAGAAGGATAAACTCAAAGTTTTGCTTGAACAAATACGTCTTCTTGAGTGTTGTCAGATTCCAAGAACCACTCCTTAAAAAAATTGCGATCATGTAGCTATACATATTTTCTGTGATGCTAGTAAAATAGCTTACAAAGCTTTGACACTTATTTTTGGAGTGACTCTAACGTTGTTCTCACTTAATTAAAACAAGGTCATATTGGAACACGTTCGTAAACAGAAGAGTTGAGGAAATTCGGAAGTATACTGATTTGAGTAAGTGGAATCATGTGGCAGGTATATTATGCAGCAGAGGAGGAATTCTGTAACGGATAGAGATCTTTATCGATATCGCTATGGCACTTGACGTCTTCATCTCTCTTTTCGAAATCAATAGAGAGGAGACGTCAATAGAGATAGCGAAAATATCGCTATTCGTTACAGAATCTCAGCCCAGATCTTCCATTAATAGGTTGTAGTATCAAACAGTTGATTAAAAATCGTTGGTGGGAGGGTTCCGATTGGCTGAGCAAAAATATAGAATATTGGCCGATACCATCAATTTCTTATAATGAAGAAGTAGCCTATATGAAACAAAAGAAAACAGTGGTAATAACAAATCTTATTGTAAATAAAAAACGCTACATCTGAGAATTTCCCTCATTTTTCTAAGACCCGGTTTATTCATCTTCTGCTGGTACCTATCTACAAGATAAATTTACCGTTCTATAATTCTATTGATCAGCGGATAACTTTGGCAACATTATGAAAATGTCTGAAAGATATTTTTAATCATTAGTTCAAACTGTCATTTGTTGTTGTCAAATTTCCCTCGCAGATTTTGAGGTTAGGTTTGTGTAAAATATCGGCTGATCAATATCTTGTTGGTAAAGTTTGTAGATTTTTATATTTAGGTATTTGCGTTATTTACCATGTAAGTATCACTAAATATTTTGGCTCATATAGTATATTTTATATGTAGATTTCGAATTTAGAGTTGGATTTTGAATACTTTTGGTTAGTTCGCAGTTAGCAAGGTGATCGCACTTACCCCGGATAAACTAGAAATGGGGGTAAGATGGATTAGATGGATCACCTGGGCTGGGACTCTGTAACGGATAGAGATTGTTATGCCCATCGTTATGACACTTAATGTCTTCTTCTCTCTTTTCGAAATCAATAGAGAGGGGATGTCAATAGAGATAGAGAAAATATCTCTATTCCCTACAGAGTCCTAGCCTAATAGACTGTGAGATAGGGGCTGTTTAGTGGAGTCATTTTTTTTTGTCTGGCATTTTGAGGGCTGAATGTGGCTACTAAGCTGATGAGAATATGGGTGATTTTAATGCCGGACTCCCGTTCGAAAATTTGCAGAAGAAAAAAATTGATTTACATGAAGAATTTTTTTTTAATGATCTCAAATGTTCTAGCTTTTAACTAAAAGATTGACATTGATAAATAATTCACCCATGAAAAATATCAGATGCTTTTCAATAGCTGAAAAAATGGAGATGGGTGTCAACTTCCAGGAGAAAAGAAAAGAACCTTCCGCGTTTACTTTTTGTCTGGCAATCGAGAGAATGAAAGGTATTGTTGTGGAAATAACGCTGAAAAATCGCCAGACGGTAATCACAGTTCGAAATCGAGTTTTCCGGCGAAACATTCTGTGGACATTTCGAACAGGAGGCAGGCATTAAAACCACTTATATTCTCATCAGCTAACTAGTCACATTCATCCCTCAAAATGCCAGACAAAAAAAAAAATGACTCCACTAAACAGACCCTATCTCAGGGTCTATAAGGGGCAAGTGAGATTTTGATTTCTATGGATATAAATTGCTTGACATATTTTGTTGTTGTTGTTATGAGTTTGGGGTAGGTAACAACAGTTTTTCTATACTTTCAGACTACAAAATGATGAGGATATATACAAGAAAAACTCAAAGGGCGTCTCCTTATTCTCCAGAGTGTCACACGCCGGATTTTAACAACTAAGAAGGCAGCTCGTAAATGTAAAATTACCTACTCGACTTTTTTTAACCATACAAAAAAAGGTTATCGAGGGAAAAAAACAGCACATTTGGAAGGTCAACAATTATTCCTCTAGAAGAAGAACGCGAACTTGCCGATGGTTTGAGAGTATTAGAGAAGTGGGGTTGGTGCTTTAGCCGAAAGGAAGTGCTGGGAATTTGTGGGAAGATATGTAACCCAGAAAAATATGAAACAACGTTCCTGGTAAAGATTTGTTACTAGGCTTCAAGAAACGACATAGACTGTCCCTAAAAAAGCCCCAATCTCTTCAATATGCTCGGAAAAAAACTACTGACTTAATACTTTGACTTGCTTGAGCAGACATTGAATGACCTAAATTCACATGATAAGCCTCAACAAATATAATATAGATGACTAATTTTTGTCTAGATCCATCAAAAAGTGAAGTTCTGGGTCAGAAGAACGGGCCTTTATCACGAATAACCATTAGACTTTGCCGTAAAAATATAACTGTACTTAAGGGAAGAAATGGCAATGGGGATAAGTTGCCAACACTAGTAGTGTGTGAAAGAACATCTGGGAACAGTGGATTTCATCGGAAAATGAAGTATTTCCTAATATGGCATTCGTTTCATCTCAGAATGGATAGATGGAAACAGAGTGATTATTTTAATGATACATTTTTAAGAAATTGTGCTTTCAACGTCCAATTCTGTTAATATTTGATGGACACACTACTCATCTTGATATCAAACTTGTTGCAATAGCTAACAATGTGACTATTCTTAAGCTACCACCCCACAGTAGCTATCTGCTGCAACCTATGTACCTAGCGGTGTTTCGTTCACTCAAGTCTGTTTAGGATAGCAAGCTTGTTACATGGTAAAGGAACCGTATAGGTCAGAAGCTTTCAAAAAAAGAGTTCTGTATTCTTATTCCAAAAATTTGGAGTGATTGCAAGGAAGAAAATTTAAGAAGCGGATTCCAGAGAGCAGGCATTTGTCCATTCAATAGAAATGTCGTAGATGAAGATAAATATGACCCAGAACCACTCAGCAGATTCAAACAAAATAAGAAAATGAATGCTGATATCCGGCTAATAAACCAAGAAATGAAATCTTGCAAACTGATGACATTTTAGACGATACAGAAATTTCAGGAATACTGGATGCTAGCCAAATGATTCAGCTAAAGAAGACATAGCTGCCCCAAATCATATTGAGAAGATAAATATTGCTGAGAAAGAATCAAACAAAAACAGCTGCAGAAGAAAGCAAAAAAGCAATCAATTATATTGGTATTCAGACCAACCAGAACTACAGCTTGATTAAAATTCTGCAATATACACCATGAACAAAGGTATTTGGATTAAAGCTTGCACTTTGAATTTATGACAGGTTTGGGTTGTCATGTCTGCTCTTAAAGGTACCTACTTTAAATTACCAATTATGATACTTTAATTTCAAAGTAGCTTTGGGGTTGAAGTGACTTTAAAAAGACGTTCAACTTTAAGGGGAGCTTTAAATTTAATGTTCACTTTAAGTTGATGAAATTCGCCGTAAGTTTACCAAAGAGCTGTTAAGCGAACATCAGAGAATTATACAAGGTGAAAGTTTTGGTGAGAGAAATTAGGATTTCCAAGGACTCGAAATTTATAGAGATGATAATGGTGTGTTGAGAGTAAAAACTCGCATTATTAATACAGATTCTTTGGAATGTTGTAAGTATCCAATTTTGCTACCATGTTATTATGAAATCGTTAAAAGATTAATTGAAGAGAAACATAGATTGTTTTGTCATGCTGAAATACAGACTCTAAGGTGTAGGTTAAGAGAAACGTTTTGGATTATAAAAGGAAAAAAAATTATCAGAAATGTCATTGGATTATGCAAGAAATAGAAAGTAAATGCTATACACTTCCCTTCCTCCGCATTACCCAAGGACAGAGTGAATAATGTTGGAGTGTTCGAAATTACCGGAATTGATCTTGCTGCTCCGTTATATCTTAAGATCAATGATAAAGTTTATATAGTAATATTTATCTGCGCAGTCTATCGAGCATGTCATTTTGAATTAGTTAACGTTATTTCAACAGAAGAATTCATTTTTTCTTTTAGAAGATTTATTGCCAGAAGAGGATAAGTATATACAGGGGATCCCACTAAGGTCGGGCAGGTACGATATTATGGAAACCAGAATAGACCTTACGGCTTCGGATTTTTTTTTCTACACTAAATGGACCAAGAGAAATTGATGGAAATTATTTTCAAGTTTCTAAGATGACGGCTAGGAGGCACAATTACAATCTAAAAATTCAAATTTTCTCCAGAAATCGCTATATTAAGATACTGTTTTAACAACAGAAATCAAAAGCTCATTAATTTTTGCGTCAGTTTGGTCATCAGGCTTTTTTCGTATCTTCACTAATAAGGGTGGGAGAAGCTGGTGAAAGAATAGTTTTAAAAATTGCTGTATCTTCCATACCCCTCATCCAAATTTATTCAATTTGGGCTTATTTGAAAGAGAATTTCATTGTTATTAAGAACACCACTTTGTTCGAAGTAGATAGTTCCCACCGCGTCTTCTAGAGGGTGCTGTTTAACCAAGATCCAGTTTTTTCTAATTTTTTTGAAAAATCGTAATGGCATGATATTATTTTTTTATTGTTGTGCTTAGAGAGTAAAAGAATATCTACATTTTGGTGCAAGCCGCAATTCAATATCTGCATTCGTTTTCAAGTTACGTAAGGTCTATGGTTTTCATAATATCGTACCTCGTCGACCTTAGTGAGACACCCTGTATATACATTTATTCTGATAATGGAGGTAACTTTCATGGAACTGAAAATCTTTTTATACAAATAGACTGGAACGAAAAACAAAAATTCTCTTCGGTGTCAACAATAAACTGGAATTTCATTGCACCTACAGCCACTTGGTAGGGCGGATGGTGGGAGAGAGTAGTACGTATGATTAAGGAGTTGCTTAGAAGAAATTTGGGAAGAAGATGTCTTGCTTATGATGAACTATATACAGTTTTATGTCATTATGAAGCTGTGGAAAATGCTCGGCCCTTTACAATGAAAATCATACCAATGGAGATTTGACACCAATAACATTAGACTCATTTTTAGTCAGCAGTAAGATACCAGATTTAGACCAAATTGGAAGAATTAGTTCAAAGAAACGTTTAAATTACCTTCAAAATATTGGAGATGCATTTAGAAAACGATAGAAATGAATATCTAGCTACACTGGTGCAGTCTAAAAAAGGAAAATATGAAGAGAATAATGTAGCATATGGGAAAAATTATAAAAGTTTACCCAGGACAAGATTAAGTAATTAGAGTTGTGAAAGTAAACACGTCCAATGGAACTCTCACAAGACCAATACAACGCATACATAGACTTGAAATTGGTAGGGAAGACGAATTGAGTGAATGTTCAACACCTAAACCTCAGAAAAAACCCAGTTCAAAACGAGATTGTTATACTCCCAAAGATCTATTGACACCCCAAACCTTGAAGAGGAAGGAAAATCAGAATACCGATGAAGAAACCTCGAAGAAAATCAAGAATCTCAAGGAATTATTAAAAAACTTTAAACCTACTGATACCATGCAACCAACAAGAAGAAGTACAAGGGAGATTAAAAAAACCCTCAAGATACCAGTAACCCGAACAGAAGTTTTTTAAAAGTCAGTTTCGCCGGACTTGAGCGGGAGTACCTATGTTAAAAGACCACACCAGAAGCACCCAGAAGTCTGACGAATGCAAGAATGGTTGTTATAGGTAGTTTTAGTTGTTTACCAGATTTTGTCTTTGACGTTGTCCAATTGAAAAATTTTAAAAAAATATACTTTGTCAAATAATTTGGTACACTTTCCTATCTTTTTCGAATTAAAATAACTTGCAGTAATTACAAACAACACATACCATTGAAATGGGTCTGAGGAGGCTGCAGGATGGACCCCAAACTCGCAAAACCATAACAATATGTTTTGACAGCTAAGCCGCTCTGAAGGCGCTAAGGAGCTGTCAGGAACAAGCCCTAAGAAAATTAGGAAAAGAAAACAAGGTAATCTTAATATGGATACTGGGACAAGCTGGCCTTAGAGCAACGAAATGGTGGATTTCCTTGTCAGAGGAAGAGAAGAAACTAAGTTCACAGGGCCAGAGCCCAAGCTGGGCATGGCTTGATTGAGTTAGTTTAAAGTCGAGTTCCGATGAAAATTGACTTGATTTGAGTTAGTTTAAAGTCGAGTTTCGATGATACCTATAACATGACAAATGAAACTATTGAAACCTGGGCGGACAACAAAGCAATTGGCTAAACCTGCCAGGGATGACACAAGCAAAAAAGGCAATCATAAGACAAACAGTGAAAGATAATACAGTGGACACTGTAGACTAAAACATCACATGCAAAGGGTTGGACTGCCAGATGATACTGAGTGCAAGGTATGCACAAAGAACGGTATGCAGGATGAGGAGACAGCTGCACAAGTTATTTGCGAATGTCCGGTAGGTGGCAGACTAAGGCATCGTCTCATAAAGCTACGTTTACACTTGGAAAGTTTACTGGCGGAAAGTGCTTGCCACCACTAAACTTATGTAATATGCCATATGTAAACCCAATATGTAAACCACAGGAAAGTGCATTTGCTACTTGCCGGCAAGCGCTTTCCAAAAATTAATGGACCGGCTAGTTTACTTGCCGCTAGGCCGAATTTCTGTTTGTAAACGGATCACAAAAACAGGTGTCCACGTTTCTGTATAAATACTGCAAAAGAGCAAAACTATCACCAGTGGCAAGATATCGTAATGTGACTTTCAATTTGATTTTAGGAGAAATAGGACTTCTCATCTACGTTCCTCCTCATTATCAGTTCAACTAGTCTTAATAGTTCTTGAAATTTTTGCTATGATGATCTGATAAAATTCCTATAAGAATCAGGATTTTCAATTGATATCTCCTTTAGGGGTCGTTCTGTCTGACGCACCCACCCAGAGTACTTCTACGTCTGATCCAATCTCTAACCCAAACTCGTTTTTTTCATTTTAACTTAATTATTAAATTATTAGCAATTTTACTTAAAACAACGTGAAACAACTTCAATAGCAGCACGCTCTACCCTACTTGGAGCCATTTTTTTTTCTACTTTTTGGCAAATAAACTTGAAAACATGTTAACAAAAAACAATGAACAAGTTTAGTAACGACAAGTACATTCCGCCAGTAAACTTTACAAGTATAAACGTAGCTTCAGCAACTGTCGAACTGAACTGTCCCACTGGAAGACTAACAATATCTCTCCAACTACTATCCTGAATTTCATTGGAAAAAAAGACATGACTGGAGAAATATGAATAGATATGCGCCATAATAATAGACCAATGAGTCACGGAGGGCCCTAATGGCCCACTCATTTTCAACCAAACCCAACCTAAACCCCATCCAAACGAACTCGATTTAGTAAATAGCCAAATTTTAGACATTTATTCTAAATTATAGAATGGCATTCCAGAAAGCCTTAATTTCAAATATCAAAAGTATCTTACCATAGTCCGTGATCCAGGTCTCCCAGGTATATCGCTGCAAGACGCTGAACCATTAGACGGCGCCGGCGACAAACCATCATCGGTACTTCCTGTATGCGTAGTGGTATCAGCAGTGGGCGGGCTCTGTCCACCCGAAGCTAAAGGACTCAAAGTTGTAGTGTCCGGAGGACTGCTGGCCGATGACGTCGAAGTTTGACAAAAACTATTACTAGTCACCGATTGAGAGTTTTGATTTACGGCCGTCTGCGTTGAAACGGAGTGCCTATAGTTTATGTCTTCTTGCTGGGCGTTGCCTCTTTGTTGTTGCACTAGCAAAGCTTGCACTTGGTTTTTGTCATTAATCATAAAATTTTGTTGGTCCACATTTAGAGCAGTAGCTCTGGCAACATTTTGCTGTCCTTGCTGATTATTTTGCTGTTGAAAATTTTGCAGTTGCTGGTTATTAGCTACCATAGTGGTTTGTTGTTGCACTATCGTGGTATTTTGTTGAACAAATGTAGTGTTTTGTTGATTTGCTGAAGATGTCTGGGGTGAACAAGGTACCATTAGAGTTTGTCCCATTTGTCCGTTTACTTGAATATATTCTTGCTGCTGTTGATTGTTTGGTCTGATTTGTTGAGGGGAGGCATTAAACGTGACTTGCTGAGAGGGGCTTACACTGGCAACTAAAGGACTCAATTGACCAGCACTAAACTGGCCATTTACAACAAACTGGCTGCCATTTGGTGACAAAAACTGAGCTCCGGGACTGTGTTGTTGCTGTATTATTTTACCTTGAGACGTCGGAGCTCTTATAACCATTCCCGCTGGACCAGCAGCGAGAATACTTTGACCACCGTTGAACATATTATTGTTTTGTATAGGCGTCAAAACATTTTGCCCATTAACATTTTGAATTTGAAGTTGCATGCCCAAATTTGAAGTGTCTTGAAGAATAGTTGCAGTACCATCTGCATTCATAACCATACTACCTCCAAGGTTTGGTACAATAAACTGTTGAATAGGAATATTTTGCATAACTCCAGTAGTACCGTTTATCAAACTCACTGGTTGTAATAAGTTTATTTGTTGAGTTGGCTGCGAGTTTATGATTTGTTGGGCGTTTGCAACTGCCTGTCCGTTCATCACTATTTGAGGCGGGCCTCCTGTTTTACTAGGAACAATGGTGAGTGCTTGCATTACAGGTGTAGTGGTAATGCTGTGTGGACTGTGAGCCACTTGAATTTGCTGAGGGAAACCTTGCTGATTAACCACCATGCCGGAATTTTGCTGGGCAGCGATATGAAGCATTCCTGCAACAGTTTGTGATGGCAATTTCCTTTTTTTGCCTTTTTTCTTTGTTTCTGGAGACAATAACGCCCTTCGAGAATCGTTACTGTCAAGCTGTATTTGTTGCTGAATCATATTTCCAGTAACAATTTGAGGTATTTGCATGTTTTGGCCCACAGTCATACCGTCCATGGTCATGGTAACTCCTGGTTGTAGAACGAATGGTGCAGGTAGTGTGTTAACTAGTACAGTTTGTTGGCCCAGAACTTGCTGAGTTGGTATGACTTGTGATACAGCAGCCGTAACGTTTGTGACCATTGGAGATACAGATACAGGAGGCATTGCATTTTGACTAGTGACTACTTTTGGCGGTGGGGGAGGAGCCATTACGTTGGCTGCACTCGCCATTATAAGCTGGCCGTTAGAGGAGACTAAAATGTGACCAGGAGGGAGCCCCGAAGGTGAATGTTTGATAATCTGCTGAGACACTTGGGGGCTAGTTTGGGCAATTGATACAGTAATATTTTGATGGTGGTGATGGTGATGATGCTGCGATTGTGGCACTTGTATGCTACTAACGACACTTTGTACCATTTCCAGAGGACTCTTTGAAACACTAATATTTAAGCTTTGTGATGGAATTGTTAAAGCTGCACTTGAAGGGTTTGATTCAACGTTATTAATTGATACTGTTGCGGTGTTGGTTCTTCCAGCAAGAACCGAAGTGATGGTGTTATGACCAGAAGTGCGACCACTTGCCATAGTAGTAACGAGTCCAGTAAGAAAGCTTCTGTCAGGCCTTTCGTTTGTTTTTGTGATATTTTGTTGACTAGAATGAGAAAAGGCATAACTTGAATCTAATTTTTGATTCTTGTTGTGTTGGTCGTTATGATGCTCTTGCAGCTGCTGTATGTAATTCTCTCTGGATTGCGAAACGATTTGTACTATTTGTCCATCGTGGTTTTGTATGCTGAACGAATTTTGTAAATTATCCATTAATTTTTGTGGAGGTGTAGGAGTATGTGGGTTAGGTGTTGGTGGGTCTGAATGTATGCTATCCATAGGTGAGACATTACTGGTGCTAACAGTACCACCTTGTATTGGTCTCAAATCGGGGCTATGCTTGTCTGAGTACATTGAAGAAGTAACTGGATCCTCGCACGAGCTTGGAGTACTAGGGGCGCTATCAGATCTACTAGGATGTTTGACTTTTTGATTACTAGGCGCAAATTGTGTATCGTTGATGCAACCTTGACATTGCTGCACATAGTGATGCATTTGAGGTTCTTGCACTATACTACTATCAGCTGCAATGTTTTGCTGTTGTTGTTGGTGCATTTGCTCCATTTGATTATATTGCGGTTTTATTTGTTGTTGATGCTTCATCACATTCATATTTTGATTTACTCTTGGAAATTGAGGCTTTATGTTTACATTGCTAGGTAAGGGTACCTCGTTTGATTGCTGTTGGGAATTTGATATGGTAATTATATTGTGTTGAGGGACATTTGAACTACTACCGTAAGTTTGTCGGTTGATTGTGTTATTAAGCAGAGCAGTTTGTTGGGCTAAATATCCGGTAGGATCTTCCATGAATGATGGACTTGTGGCCTTATGATTATGTTGTTGCATTTGATTGATTAATACAGGCCGGTTTTCGTTGGGTATTTGACGAACATCAATGTTAGGACAAGGCCCTGTATTACGTATTTGACAATTGTTACTTTCAATCATATGGTATTGTCTGTTTTTAGTCATTTTGTTTAGTTTTACTTTTTTCCGTCTTATTTCTTCTTGCCAAACTGGATTAGGCATGTGCTGGTGAAGGGGAGGCACTCTTTCGTAAACATTTTGATTATTTTGCATGCTATGTTGAATTTGCATTTGTTGGTTCATTTGATTCATGTTTTGCATACGATGTTGCCATTGAAACTTTTGCTGTTGCATTTGCATTTGATTTAACTGATGTTGATGAGGCATCGATTGGGGTCTCATTCCATTGTAACCGAAAGGACGTATGTTTTTACTAGGATCAACTTGTTCGAATTGATTATTGAATATGTGCGGTTGTTGTAAAACTTTTTTGTGTAACTCTGGTAGTTTAATTTGTTGTTGAGGAATTAAATTGCTTTGGTTGTTTGGCCGACCGGGTCCGCTAGGTTCGGATGGTTGAGTATTCATGTATACCCTGTTATGTTGTTGTTGTTGTTGTTGATGCTGCGCGTGCATCATGTTTACATTTTGACCCTGTATTATTTGGCTTTGCCCTTGGTTCACCATACCACTGTGGTTTTGAGGAGGAATTTCGTGGACGTTGATGATTTGTCCGTTTGGACCCAGAATTTGTTGCGAGTTAATGTGGACGTTGGGATTGGGCATTGTCGTCGGAGAAAGTCCATTGCCAGGTTCGTTTACCACAACCATTCTGCCTCCTGGAGCCTCGTGACATCTGATTAATGGATTTTGTTGGTTATCTGCGAAACCTTGCATGTGACTAGTTGGATTATGGGGAGACCACACCTGAAAAAATTATATTTTAGAAAATTATATAATATGTAAATTATATTTTATATTCGCCTGTATTTAATAATTGTTAACCAGTTTACAATGTACATACAATAAATTATCTTATAAAAGTATAGCTTATCGTTACATGGTGTCAGAAAACATGAATCCAGCATAAATAAATATGACAGAACCAACAAATAACCAATCTGGAGTTATTGGTATACGTCCTTCAAAGCACCTTGTTTTAAACTCCGAAAATATGGCAAGAGAATGGAAAAATTGGATACAACAGCTCGAATGCGAATGGTACGCTATAGCTGCACAGTTATCGAAGAAACCCAAAGAAATTCAAGCAGCTACATTTATGGCTACCATTAGCCCAGATGTTGTAGATATATTCAATAATTTTGGATTATCTGATGATGTTAGCATAATAAAGGGTAAATTGTACGTGTACATTCCTGCGAGACAACAAAGTCCAATGATAGCATTTTTCAAGGATTGGGTTGTTTGAAAAAATTTGAACATAATATTAATTTCATAGAAAATCCAAAGTTTGAAATCAGGCCTGCAAGAAAAATACCCTTTGCCATACGAGATGAAATGAAAAAAGAATTGAGAAATATGGCTAAGTTAGGTGTCATTAAGCCCGTCATAGAACCTACTCCTGCAGTCAGTCCGTTAGTAACTGTTAGGCAAAAAGGTAAATTAAGAATCTGCATAGATCCTACAGATGTTAACAAAAACATTTTAAGAAGACATTATCCGCTGAAATCCATGGAAGAAATTTCAGCACAAATACGTGGAGCCAAATATTTTACACTTTTAGATTGCAAACGAGAGATTTGGCAAATAATAGTTGCAGAGCAGTCTCAAAAATATCTCACATTTTCAACACCATAGGGGCGTTATATAGTTGCACTCGTCTACCATTTGGAATTTATTCAGCACCAGAGGTATTTCAAGAAATAATGAGTTCCTTGTTAAAAAACATTCCAAACACTCACTGCTCAATGGACGATATTCTTATTTATTCCGACTCTCAGGAAGGTCTAAAAAAAATTACTTAAAAAGGTAATGGAAATGTTGAAAAATTCTGGATTGAGACTCGATAAGGAAAAATGCATTTTCAATGTTGAAAGAGTTAAGTTTCTTGGGCATATTTTATCGAAAAATGGTATTGAAATTGATGATACCAAGGTGGAAACTATTGAAAATTTAAAGACAACAAATATGACAGAACTACAAAGATGCTAGGCATGATAACATATTTGAATTAATTCATACCAAAGATGTCTGAGCTTACAGATCCTTTGCGAAAGCTTCTAAAAAGAGAATTTATTTGGGACAAAAAAAAAAGCAACTTGCGACCGGTTGCTGGTTGCTATGTAGTTGTTGTTCGTAGAGAAGTGGATGCTAGTTCGAATTTAGGAGCTGCCTTGATGCAAGAAAATCAACCCATTGCATATGCTACTAGATCATTAACAACGTCACAGCAAAATTGGCCTCAAATTGAGAAAGAAGCGTATGCAATAAAAATTGGATGTGATAAATTTCTTCAATATACAGGGTGTTTACGTAGCCCGTGCATTAGAAGTTTTTGAAGTTGCAGGGGGATTAGAAACTTCAAATTTGGATTGTAGCCATAATCAATCGTTATCACCTAAAATATTTTCAGATCTTCAACTATACAGGGTGTACCAAATGTTAACACTAACTTTCTTATTTCAAATCGAAAGTTGCAACTTTTTCAACATAGTTCGATCAGCCTTACAATTTTGAGTTTGGACAACCCAAGTTTTGTCAACTTATCTTTTATAGTTTTTGACATTTGTCATTTTTTCTTTTAAAAATTGTCTCTGCAGTTGTTTACGAAAAACAAGGTTACTCGAAAACTGTCCTAAAATAAAAACCAAAATTTAGAAGCTAATCAGCTAAAAATTCAGGTTAACTTCTGATGTGTCATTTTATACCATATGGGTGCAGGCGACCTGCAAACATCGGAATCAATAATGGTCAAAAAGTCGATTTTTTCAAATATCACTTATTAAGTTTCTTGGCACCATTGGAAAGAAAATTAAATTTTACAGGGCGTTAATTAAACATTCCCTATACCTAATTTGATACATTTTCGAGTTATTCATAAAAATCAAAAAATCGCATAACTCTTCAACAGATTCCTTGATGTGTCAACTATGTCATGGAAACAGAAGACAATTTTTACAATGAGTTATCAAAAAAAAAAAAATAACAAGAAGAAAACCAACAGCAAATAATAATATTAGTATTAAAAAACTAGAAAAACAACAAAATCTTATTAGAAAAAAAAAAAAAAAAACATTAAATTCTAAATTAAATGTTCAATGGGACCACCATTTTGATTTAAACATTCTCTCAATCTATTGTCTGCTGATTTTAATCTGACAATCTCCGTATGAGGAGCAAGGGGGTAAAGCATATGGCAAAAACAAGTGTGACGTCAAGTGACCATTGTCGTTCTAATACTTCTAATGTAGGGAGCCACCAGCTCACATTCCTTTGGAGTATCGTCTAATTTCATTGGGGTCGATACTGTCAAAAGCCTGTTCTATTCTATGTGTCAAGTCGTGTAGGTTTTAAACTACTGAAGAATAAATCAAATCTTTTATCCGAACCCACACGTAAAAATCTAATAGGCTAAGATCTGGGAATCTCGCAGGCCACAGGAATGGTCCTTGATTTCCCCACCAATGGATTAGCGCACTTGACTTACTGCAGGGGTCCCAGGTTCGATGCCCGGAAGCAGCAGACTTTTTTTCATTAATTATAAGACTGATCGTTCGAGCCATCGCTCAATAGATGGCGTTGATTATGACCCGTAACGACAACGGAGCAGTTGAAGTAATTCGGATAGATTGAAGTAATTCGAGTTGGTTGGAGTAGTTTAGGTTAGTTCGGAGTAGATTAGACTAGTTCGAGTTGGTTGGAGTAGGTTGGGGTAGTTCGGAGTAGATGACATTGATAGATGACATTGACAGATGATTCATAGATGTCATTGACAGATGAGTGACATTTGACTGACAGGTGAATGACATTTGACTGAAGGACGGAGGATGGTGAACGAATCAAGTATATCTACTTACAATAAGGCTGTTCGTATTGAGGTTTCAGGATATGCTTGAAAATATCCCAGTAATTTGATTATCGTTATTGCCAGTTACTGGTTTCAATCTAGTAATGGGTCTAGTCACTCTACTGAAACTTCGAAAATTGTTAAATAAACGTGCAAATTTTCCCCTTGTTATCCTTGGTAGGCGTGGATATTTCAAATTGAACTGACGGATGGTTCGCTGGATAATTTTTTTACACATGCCATGGCTTATAAACAAATCTAAAACCACTTCGTGTGGATGGTTTTCCATTCTGGTCCACTGTAGCATAATAACTATGAGGTATGGTTTATTTCAAACTTGACAGTTGTCTGTGGCAGTTGAATATTTCCTTCCGAATAATTAGGCAATCCAGATCACGTTCATGTCAAATATTAGCTGTTCAAGGAAACTATGAGCGGGTTAAGCACAAGGATCACCAATCTCGACGTACGGATCTAGGATAAGTTTAATCTTGTACGAAAAGTGATCGGGTTGTTCGGTTCAGTATCATATGTTTGGATCTTATCGACCCGATAAAATGCGAGGTGAATAGGATTGGCAACCGTCAGCTGTTTTTCTTAACCCAACTTTTTAGTTGTTTGTTGATTGTTTTGCCTTTGAAATAAATGTGGCAGACATCTTCAACAGGAAGCCAAGAAAATGGAAATTTGTTGAGGCTAGGATTTTTGGAGGTGTCATTTGACAAGATTCATCTGCGGATCCATCCGTTCGGAAACTAAACTAGTTCCACCTAGATAGTTTACTAATCCTTGAATAACTGATACTGATCGAACTGATCCTGGATCAGTGTGTGACGTTCAAGATGTAACAAATAGAGATCGTTATCTCTATCTCTATGGCACTTGCTGTCTTCTCTCTTTTTGAAATCAATAGACAGAGAACGTCAATAGAGATATAGAAAATATCTCTTCTCGTTACATAGTCCCAAGACTGGCCCTTTTTGTTGTAGATGCTAAACATGACAATGCCAATGTCAAACCTAAACGTCCAGAAGGTGACAAAGTAAGTAATTTTTCATTAATTTTCATCAGTAACCACTAAATGTAAACAACACGGTGTTTGACCTGAACGGCCATATTGAATTTCGTCAAGTCAATGGATTGCCTAATTTTGACCAGACAGAAGTGACAATCTTGAATCTTGGTCTTGGTGTCAAAAATAATTTTCAGGTCAAAAAATTGTCTATCAGCAGTTGTGAGTAAGTTTATTCGAATTTGTATCCGCGGCAATTCACAAAATTCCAGTATTTGCTGACAGCTGCTGTGAGACAAATTTTCCACCTAAAAAATATTTTTGACACTGAGACTGGTCAAAATTAATATAAAAAAAAAGAGTCAGACATGACATAGGACACAGTTGCTGGGTTCGGTAATTGAATATGCGAACAAAATGAGCAAAATTTGACAGATGTCACGTGACAAAAAAGATCAGTGATCACGTGACGTCAGTCAAAATTTGCTCTTTTTGCTCGCAGATGCAATTACCGAACCCAGCCAGTCCGCCATGACATAGGACACATCAGTGTCCTTATTCTTGAAACAGGGGAGCAGCGTTCCCAGGAGAACGAGTGTTCCGTCTTTGTTACTTATACAGGGTGTCCTTACATAAACTGACACATTTTGCAGGTAAATATCTCGAAAACGGGAAAAGATAACAAGATGCGGTTTGTTTTGGGAGAATAAGGATTTTTCATAGTTTTTTTTCACATTATTGCCGAATCCTAAAATTTGCAGAAATTTGGTTCTACAGATATGCGATTTTTTGAAATAAAATGACTGCCTTATTTTTAATGAAACATCCTGTATATTTTGTCATTGTCAGAAAGCCTGATTTTTCTTCTTTACAAAATTGTATAATTTT